CTCAGTACTGACAAACCATACTGCGGTACAACGCTTCCAATCATAAACGGAACACAAGTAAACGTAATATTACTGCGCTGCATAGTACTATTCATGAAGCTAATACCATTATACATCACTGTTTGAGAGTGTGTAAATTGTGTGCATGCTTGCATGGACCCTCTTCTTTTTATTCTGGCTATTTAAATCAAAATGAAAATTCTGTCTTTGTTGCTATATCAACCACTGGTACTTTTTATATCAATACTAAATCAATATCCTATAGCTACAATAATGGTCCATGACTAGAGAAAATCTAGTTAATCTGCCATATTCTTAGAAATTTATAATCATGTTGGTGTCATATACAAATAAGAAAAATGTCAATTTAAAAAGAAAATGCTAAAAGTGTCATGTGGAGTAACAATCAACATTTCAGGAGACTTTTTGTTATTTTGTTATGTTGGTTGCACCACATGACTTTCACAGACAAATGTTTATTAATCAGCACTAAAGCAATTTGGTTAACAAAAAAAATAAATTTCAGACATTAAAAACATGTGTAATTCACCATATGGATAAATAACATTTGAATGTATTTTTGAATAAATTTGTTTAGGCTATGTTCAGGATGCAGGTAAATGTGGCCATATGGTCATATATGACTCATATCTGTTTATTATGTCTTGACAGTGTGAACAGCATGGAATCTGATCTTTTCAATTGTGATTTGGGTCACTTTCATATGGTACTAAATACGAAAGGTGAAGGACAGCGAGAACTCATAAGTATTACAGTGACACCTATACAAGCAAAACATCATACATGTTTGAAAACTCTTATCTCTTTAAAAGTTTTCACATCTTCATCTTTGTTTTTTTATACTACCTTTGCATAAATTTACTGGCTTCCACAGCAGATCACACAATAAATAAGCGTGTGATCTCTTACCTTAACGCCCTCCGTGTTTACTTCCGTATGACGTCTTTTTATTGTTCCTTTGCGCATGCGGGCCAGATTCAAAATAACAATGTGAACAAAAACCGGATGTCAACAATAAGTCGGATTTGACCACTAGGCTTGAACGTATGTGTGAACGTAGCCTAATAGATCCAGACTAGGGCTGGAACTGACAATTATTTTTCAATCGATTAATCTATTGTTTATGAAAATTATTGTTTATTTTCTGAATGGTCGATTAACCCTTTGGTTAATTTAATAAATAATAACCGTAACTAATCAACGCATGAACTTTAACCTAATGATATGAAGGTGTTTACTATAGCTGTGTTCACAGTCACTTTTAGGGATTTACAGTGTGAATCCTGAATTTTTTTTTTTTTTTTTTTTTCAGGAGATTAAGGTAACTGCTTAAATTTGTCCATTCAGCTGCTTGATCAACTGCATTCTAACTAACTAACTAACCAACCATAGCGGTAATGATACCGACAGTATCAAGCATGGCGGTGTCCATAAAACCATAAGGTTTTACAATTATTAACATCATGGTGGGCCAGATATTGTTGTAATAACGGCTGATTTTCAGCATTCCCGGGAGACGGCATCAATGTGGAACATAAACAGCACGACAAGTCAACGCATTTCACTCAAATTGACTAATTTATGTAACTGACGTAAACGATTCCATCAATCCGTCATTACAGCCCTAATCCAGACCAACAAAATGAGCATAATGTCATTGACACTAAAGGTGCTTTCACATTTAAAGATTTCACAGTTGAAATCCAGTCATTCTAATAGGAATCCATAAGAACAGGTTTCGCGTGAGGCTGAAAAAAAAAAAATCAAGATCGGTAATTGATCGAATCGGGAAATTTGCATCAATGCCCAGCCCTAATATTTAGAACAGTGCAACACTTTTCGTGACCCTCAACCAACTATGGCCAGATCAAAGAAACTCTGCAGGGGCCAAACAACAGACATTCACCCTGGCCTGGAAATGAGGCCCCAGAGACAGCAGCCAATCAGGATCCCTCAAAGAGCTCCATCCATCCTCACCGAGGCCTCGTGTGCGTCACTAGCCCACGCTTCTATTCCCCTGAGACTAACAGCCAATAACACTGAGCTGACGGGAATAACAAACACACAAATAAAGTCTAGGCACGCACATATACATGTCTGAGAGAAAGGACGTGCCCATCCGAAATAAAATAAAAATCGCCTGAGCTTAGCTCGACACGCAGTGGCCCCTAAGAGTAAACGCCTGATAAGATCTCACACATCGATTGCCTACTAAAACCAAGCAATACCTCGATCCAACTGGCAATCTCTTGTCAGAGCCCTGACCTGCCAAATCCATCGCATGATATTACGGGGCAATATGCAGTACGAGGCCACCGCCACCCCGGGTTTGATCACTAAACCAACTTCGGAACAAAATGCGAAGACCGTCTGCCATCAGTCAAATTGACCATTCTAAAGACAAAGCATTAACACAGTAAATTGTAAGGCGAGGAAGTCGCACAGCAATCTACAGGCTCATTTGGGCCCAGCGACTCCTGGAGCGATGCAAGATGAAAAGCCTGTTGTTTATTAGAAGCCCATCTAAACCCTAATGCTCCGGGAGAGGGCCGAATCCACGTCTGCGTCGGCCCAGGGGGGGATTCGTGGGAGCCGGCGAGAATGGGTGCCACTCAAACTGATGTACTATTTAAATAATGAAGCTCAAGCAGCAATGAAGGAGATATCTGATGAGGGGGCAGAGGGTCAGCGCTCAGGGGGGAGAACGCCTGACACGTTTTAACTCTGATTTGCATTTATCACATAGAAAAAATTGGACATGGCGCATCTGCACCCGACTTCATAAAATCAGTTTTGCGGATTCCTGTCATCAGAGAAAGGCACTTATGAACCCTTTTTAAATTTTACAATAATAAGAGTGAAGGTCGACATTTCAGCTCCCATCAGGCTCAGAGCACGTGACTAACAGGTTTAAAATTAATGAATGAGGTCTTTACAGTTCACTCAATCCCATAAGATAAAGCATACATTTTTGATCATCCTCTAATTAAATGTAAAACCAAATATAATAATTACAATAATGTAGCATGTGCTAATCCCACTGTGATTTCAGCTGTAGCCTACTGTTAAAGTAAGGCTTAATTAGCAAATCACAGAATTATTATTAACCTTTATAAAGATGAACAAGATGTGGAACAAAACACTTTAGGCCTGAAGGACTAGTTCACCTAAAAATGAATCTTCTGTCATCATTTACTCATGTCATTCTTTGCCTTTTCTTTTTATTCAGTATTGCGATATGGTTACCCATTTTAGGGTATGTTTACATGACAATGATGGTAGGGCTGTGCAATTAATCATATTTCGATTTTGTCATATAACGATTATGAAATAAAACGATTATTGTGCAGCTGCATCACTTATCTGAAAACTACCATATACTTGAAAAACCTAAAGCACTGTTTGTTTAATTTCTATTTTTTGCTGGGGTTTTTTTGTACCGAAATTAGTTTCTTTGTTCTTAAATTATTGCTGACTGTTTAATAGTCTTTTGTAACGGTTTTGAGGAGGATTTTTCTTACATGAACCTAGTTTTTGCTGAAGTACCAATAATTGTGAAATTTTACTGATATTTAAAATTACTCATATCATGAAATAAGACTTTGATCATATCACCCACCAATAACAGTGTTAAATATTTGTGATTTCAATATTCACCAAAATAATCGTGACTATGATTGTTGCCATAATCGAGCAGCCCTTCCGTTTTTATGTACTAAAAACGGTATACAGACATTGTCAAAACGATCCCAGTTCACACGGATCCACGAACATGACTAAAAACGCTGCATTACTCATGCAAGGCCAGTAGTTGGCGATGTCGCACTACATGCCTATAGACCGAACATGTAGGCCTAATACACAAGCGCATGACGTCATAGTTTTCACACATTTGCATTTTTGTAGTTTACGTGGAGATGATAACGGTAATGTTTTCAAAAAACGTGCACTTTGAAACTTGTTTTCAAGATTGTGTTTTTAGGCCCCCAAACTGCCAAATCGCAGAAAAAGTTTTACGTTTTTAGTTGAGAATGGTGTAGTGTAAACAGCCCTTTAATGAACAAGCTGGACTTTCATAAAAAAAATGAAATATAATTCAATACTTATATTTAGAAATTTTCAATATTTATATTTCAAATTGACAGTAAAAACTGTTATACTGTTTATATATATATATTTTTTTTTCAAATAAATGCTGTTCTTTTTAACTTTCTATTCAGAAAAAAAAATATTAAACATTTTCAGAAACAATATTAAGCAACAAAATGTATAATAATAATTAGAAATGTTTCTTGAGCAGCAAATCAGCATATTAGAATGATTTATGAAAGATAGATGACACTGAAGAGTGATGATGCTGAAACTTACTTTACATTCTAAAATAGATTTAAACATATTAAAGTAGAAAACAGTTTTTGAAACATTAATAATATTTCAAAAGTAGATTTTTTTTTTATTTTTTTTTTTTTAAATGCAGCCTTAGTTGGTGAGCATAAGAGCCTTCTTTCAAAAACATTTCATTTTTTATAATGACGATACAACTTTTTGAATTATACATTTTTGGTTATCCTTGGACTCAGCTGTACTCAACCAATAAAAAAAAATGAAAATTCTGTCATCAGTTACTCGCCCTACCTGTACAATTTTCTTTCTTCTGCTGAACACAAAAGAAGATATTATGAAGAACGATTGGAACCAAACAGTTGTTTGGCACCATTGACTTCCATAGTAGAAAAAAAATAGGCTACTATGGAAGTCAATGGTACCAAAGTTCCAGTCATTCTTCAAAATATCTTCCTTTGTGTTCAGCAGAAGAAAGAAACTCAAAGGTAGGATGAGTAAATGATGACAGAATTTTCATTTTTGGGTGGAGTATCCCTTTAAGCAACCTCAAACTTGGTCTCTTCATTTTGGTTTGTGTTTCATTAAACAAAGCAAATCCGGCCATCTCTTTATACATGATATAATGTGTTACTCACCTGCTCTAGTAGCTTTCTGTATCTCTGGGTGGCTTGCTGAATGAGATCTCGCACTGTCCAGCCTTCCTTACATGGGACAACAACACCAGTCCTTCCAAAACTCACTGTCACTTTCATTTTTAATTCAGAAAGGTATGATGAATCCAGATGTGTCCCTAAACAAACTCCAGCAGCAGGTGTGAGTGCTTGTGTATCTTCAGTCAGGCTCCACACTGCTTTTCTGCATCAAACTTTACTGCTTCAAACACTGCATTATACTATAGAAAGAAAAACAAATACTGTAAGTGTAAAACAAATAAAATCAGATGTTTTAGTAAGATGTTTACTAACTAGAAAGCATTGTTTACTAAACTGTATAATAAAACAGCATGCAGTGCGTTAAATAGCAACAGCTGGTGGGAAGTTTTAAACAGAGTCGGTGCACTTCGATGTAAATACATTTTCGGGTTGGTTTTATTATTACAGTTAGAGATGAGAATGGTAACTTAGTGTCCCGTTGAACCCAGCTGGCTAACGGTTAGCTCTGAGGGCAACACTTTTACTTTGTAAACTCACCGAAAACTCTTAAAATATGAAAATGCGCCGAAATCAAAAGTTAAACACGTATACTTTACGCGTGCGTGTATTTCGATTTCATATCAAACCTATTTTGCACTTACTTGGCATATTATGGAGAGGCGAGAAGATTAGCGGCAAAAAAACTTTGTCGCAGTGTTGTTGAATACCCTCACAAATCATCATGCAGTCACGCTGTCTTTATACAATCTCCCACTTTATCGATGATCAACGAGAATTTACTAAAGACACTGAATATGTGTGAATGGCTTTTGCATCAGTATTTTGCCCGGATGGAGTTGCGCCATTCCTAAAGTTCCCGAGCAGCTTCCAGCAGTGTTATCCCAACATACAGAGCGGGGCCACACAACTTTATTAAAGGGCCAGAACACATCTGCTCGTGGACCACTGCAGGACACTCATCACGCTATGCTAACTTTTGTTATAATAACATATGTACACATTTCACATGTTTGCCTGTATCACTACAACACTGTGCTGTTTCCAATGGTAACAATGAGCCATATCCTACTTATTGTTATGCTAACAAATAAATAAAATGAGGATAAATGTACAAATCAGTAAATAAATAAACAGCATGTGTAAAAAAAAACTTTTAAAATAAATAATAAATGAATAAATAAAACGTGTCTTGTTGAATACATAAATAAATAAACAAACAGCATAGGTAAAAAATAAATAAAATAAAATAAAAATAAATAGGTCTATTAATATAAAAAAACGATATAAATATTGTCCGTTTTCTCACATAAACAGCTCGTTTCATGTCTTAGGCCATCAATGTGTACTTACATTTATGAGTCATTAAATCATGTTTAATTTCGACTTCTCTGTGCATGCTCTTTGAGGTGGTGACCATAGACCTGCATTATATGACTGACAGACAAGAACGGTTTGACCTAAAAATATCAAATTTGAAACTACTGCGGAAACAAAAACACCTACATCTCGGATGCCCTTGAGGTAAGCTAAAACATACCAAAAATGTATTTCAAAGTGAACTATCCCTTTAAGCCTTCTCTTTGAGACTGGGGCTATCACAAATAATTCAATAGTCTACTTTAATTTGCTATCAACTATAGTATAGGCCTATAATATTTCTGTGGCTGAATTTGAAATTGCACACTACTGATTTTAGTATTTCTGCCATTTAAAGATATTTAACCAAACCAAAATGTCATGAATACCAAAAAAATGCACATGTCATACTTAAAGGGATAGTTAACCCATTAATGCAAATTCTGCCATCATTTTCTCATCCTCAAGTTGTTTCAAACATTTATGAGTTTGTTTCTCTCTTCTATTGAACTCAAAAGAAGCTTTGACAGCTGACATTAGCCATTGACTTACATAGGGGAAAAATACTATGGAAGTCAATGGCTACCTGAAGACAAGTGTCATATATTTAATTAAGATAGCTGAAACAAACTATTCTCAGGACAAGAGATATTTATCAAAAATGCCAGGTCGAAGAAAGTTATGATGCATAATATTAATAGTAATTTTCTGATTTATTCAGAAATCTATCTATCCATCCTTCTGTCTATCCATTCATCCACGGTTTCATCCATCCTTCTGTCCATCTGTTTGTGTGTTGATCACTGCTGGAGAGGAATAATGGGAAAAGGGGAACACACACTCTCTCTCTCATAAGCGATAAACATTGTAACACATATAATATCTGTTTTCTGGGTCATGAAATAAAACTTTCACTTGAAAAACTTTCAATTGCTAATGAGACCCCGAAGTGAATGCAGAAAACTTGGAGGTTGGTGTTGAATAATTAAAATGTGTCCAATGAAATAATGATATGTAATGCAGACATAATATTAGCTTGAGAAAAAGATTTCATGAAAAAAGAATCAATGATAATCGTTAGACACCGGGGGCGGTTACACCTGGAGCTTACAATGTTTTATTGAACCTTGATGTTATGCAAGAGTTAGTTATTACAATACGAGGTGCAAGGAGCCGGGCTACGTGTTTTAATTGTGCAAATCAATTAATTGAGCAGCCTGTGTATTCTGCAGTGATTCTTCATTCTTTAGGGGCTTTGCATATGATTACACCATCAGCACATTTTATTTTTAGATCCAAAACAAGCCACGATCCCGAGATAATAGTATTCTACAAAAACAATTTCCATTCCATTGTGTTTCCATTATAAACACAGCCCTCGTTTATTTGCTGGAGTGAGATGGTTGAAAAGATTTGTTTTGTTTCTTCCTATCACTCATTTCTTTACAGCAGTCAAATAGCTCCTTCTCCTGTGTTAATAAAACCAAAAAATGGCCCTTTCCTCTGGTCTGTTCCACTAATGCTAACTCTGTCTTCATTACACTCGATAAGCAAAACATTAAAGTAAAGGTTAGTGTTATAGCGTTGCTATTTAGGATTACAGGATTATAGTTAGATAGTGCTACTATAGGCTATACAGAAATAAGATCTGGTCTAATTTTGTATGCATGTAAAAGCCTGCATATCAAATAAAGAATCAGATGTTTGATTATCGGACAGTTCACAGAGAAACCTGGGGTTAATTGCTGTGCTTAAAGATATTTTAAACTCTGACATCATTCATTATTCGTTATCGTTCAAAACTGTGATTTTTTTTCTCTCTGTGTAACTCAAATAGAGAATAAATGCGCCATCTTTGATTTTTAATGAGAATGAAAGCGAGGCTGTGAGGGATAGACATGCATCTCTTCAATGGGCTGTACTGTTATTTAATGTGTTTTCGTTTTGTTCTGCTCATGAAACTCATGAAATTTTAGTTGACAAATATACCGACAATATAAGCTGTGGAAAATTGTAAGTAATCTAGCCGCTTTATTCAGCTTTTTACAGCGGATGCCATTGGAAACACGGTAAGTCTATCCCTCAGCCTCACTTTCATACCTGTCATGGCGCAGCTCTGAATAAGGTCTATTTCAATTTAAAAACATGGATGTACACAATATGTGCATTGTATCAAATTATTTATTTTAATGTTAGTAATAACACCCAATTGTTCACCTAATAATCTTTTTTAATGAAGATTGTGGTTTTATGGAGATTATAGGAAAATTATGTTCCTTTTTTTCAATCAAGTGTAATCAGAAATGGCTTGTCCACTTGGTATTGTTCAAACTCCTATGAAAATGATTGGACTGAAAGATTATCCCAGTATTCAGACACTGTATGATACATTAAATGAGACTAAAAGGATTTTAAGTGACCCGTCTCATGTACTCTATCCCTGTTATGAACTCTTGGCACCTGAAAAAAAGGTTTAGAACTCTCCATTATAAACCAAAAAGGTTTAAAAACTAGTTTGTGCCGGTATCCAGAGTGTTGAACATGGATTAGCGACATCTGGTGTGTATGAATATTTTGTGTAAATGTACCAGGTTCAGTCAAATTCAAAAAAGTATATTAATATTTCCATATAAAGTTGGCCCCTAAATTTTAAAGAAAACTATTTTATGCTGTTGTTGCCTCTCTTATTGACCATCTGACAATTCTTTAATAACCAAGCTACTTTAAGTATTACATTTTTACTTTATATTCAAAGCACTTACCTTTGAGTCAGAAAGATTATTCAGAGAGTATTCATACACAAAGCAACTACTAATAAAACATTTGCGCACAAGGCATGTCATGTATAGTATTAGATTGACTATGTGAATGATGTCAAACAGATATAATAATTCAAAAGCAGTTATTTTTATTGGTATCAGAAGTCACTGAAAATGATCAGTGTAATTTCATTCAGAGACATTTCCCATCGCCTGAGTGTCATAATAGGCTGCTTTTAGACCTGATATGTAAATTTGACCTCCCATTTGTATGCAAATTACCAGTGTAGCCTATTTGACATTGGCAAGCAATGTGTTTACATTTGCTGGATGTGCAATATCGCTACCACTTTACAGTATTATCAAACGGCCATGTCAATACTGCTGAATAAATGTGCAAATCAGATGACTTACACCTGCCTTAACAAAAAACACACAAGAGTGATAAGTGTCAGATGATAAGCAAATACAATCTCAAATTTAAAGCGGTGCATCTCAAACGAAACCATAACAAATATCCATAAAATGGAGCTTATGTGTTGTACGTTTGAGAGGTTGCATTATCATCCAGAGAATCTATAATGGAAGGTGTGATTGACATGTATGGTAGGTCTGCATGGCTGCTTGTCTAGACCTGACCCCTGCAGATCCATGGCCTGGTGTAAATGCATTCCCACTGTTCGGCAGATACAGCGAGAGCAAATCAATGTGTCTGTGCAACATGTCCAAGCTGAGGAGTTGCAATGGGGGGTCTTCGTCACCGAAGACTTCCCACTGAAACATTAGATTTTCCCCTTTAATTTCCAGTTATGTGGCGTTTTAAAGCGAACCAGCATCCAATCCTTCCCGGGATTGCCCATTCAACGGAAAATGGCTTAATTAACCACACGGTGGGGGGGAGAGGACACTACAAAGAAGGAGGGTTGACTATATGAAGCCAGGTTGTTTTTGTGTTTTCATTGGCTGTGGAAGACTAGGCCTACTGCTTTCTGAATACTGCACAGTATAGGCTATTGCCTACACTAGAAAAATGGTGCTAAATGGAACACCTTTCATAAGTTTTCATAAAGAACCATGCTTTGAAAGGGCTATAAAGGTTATATATTTGATTATGTAGAAACAAGTACTGTATGTGCAAGGCCAATAAAATGGACAGTATAAGTCCTTTGCTGTTTAAGAAAAAAAAAGTGATATAAAGTCATGGGAGATTTAATGTTTTTTTTTTTTTTTTTTTTGTGAAAGTAAAAAAACAAACTATTTTTTTTTAAAAAAACAAACTATATCAATCATTAATTCCATATCTCTGTTGCTTACTTTATGGAGAAGATGGGAACAGATATGCTCACACTTACATGGTCACTTAAACTAAAAAAAGAAAAACACATGATTGAAACCAGTTATTTTGAAATGACTGAAGTTAGACATTTTAAGAAATAAATCATTTAACTGTTTAGAGTATGTTGGCAGTCTGTGTAGTTGTATAGCTGAGCTCCAGAAAATCGTTAATGAGGCTTTGTTACAGATTTGAAAAACAAAGTAGTAGGAAAAAAGAACCTCTAAACTACCACAAAGAACCATTTCAGCATAGGGTTCTTCAGGGCGATACGGTTCTAAATAGAACTGTTACTACATGTAAATAACCTTTAAAGAACTATTTTTTAGAGTGTACAATTCTTTTAAAACATCAAGATTATTTATTGAAGAACATTTTACATTCATGGAAACGTCCCATTGCACCAAATGTTCTTGTGAAAGGTTATTTAGATTATTAAAATG